GGCGGGAGCCCCAACTTGAATTCAGTTCCCACCTATCCCCCCAACTCTGGACTCTTACCGCGCCAAACTTGAGACCGCCGCAGTAGAGGAACGCTGCCTGGGGGCCCGCCCCCTCCCGTGGAATCCCGGCGGTCCCACCCCCCAACCCCGGGCCAGTGCCTGGAACTGGGAGCCGGAGGGCGAGTGTGGAGCCTGCAGGGGCCTCCTGAAGACAGGGGAACGCCTCAGATCCGCACGTTCAGGTTTCAATCTTCAGGAGGCCAGCTAGACCTTAATATTTCAGGCAAAGTAGCAGGAGGTGGGTCAATACCTAGAGAGAGAGGTTCCTGCCCTGAAAAGGATGGAAGTCCCAGCTGGGAGGACCTGGGGCCGGGGACAGCGACTTAAGAGTGGTGGCCAGTTGCCTGGACTGGCTGGGCCACGTGCGCAGAAGAGTAGAAGCAGAAAAGTTAGACGCTTGCAGAGCCTGGGGGGAAAGAGGCTTGGGCTGCTGGAGGGGCGAGGCTCTGCCGGGCGGGGTCTAAAGCCAGTGGGTCTGGGGGCCTGTTTCGGAATGTGAGGGGCTGAGCGGGAGCGGAGAGTCAGCTTGCGCCTGGCGCCCACCTCTTCCCCACTACCCCACCCCCCTTCCCTGGCTGCCTCCGCTTCCCTCGAAAAACCCGCCGCCCAGGAAACCGCTGGGGGCGCTCAGACCGCAGTCCCCCCACCCACCATCCCCCATCTCCCCCACCGCGACCGCCCAACCCACCTGAAGGGGCCGTGGCTGCCAGGGGTACCCCCCTCCCGCCGACTCCCCCCACACCTGCGGGCAGCACTATTTATAACTCCGCGCCTATTCCGGGCCTCTCGGCTGGAGCGGGCTGCTGAGCTGTGCTAATCGCCGCCGGGATCTCTGCGCCCCCCAGGGCCAGGGGAGGTAAATTTAGCTTCAGGAAGCTCCGGGGAACATTTTCCAAAACTCCACGTCCCAGAGAAGGCGAAACAGAACCCCTCTGCGCTCAGCCTCCCTCCGGCGAGCCACTAGGGGGCGCAGATCTCCGGATCCTGAACCCAGCCTGCTAGGAGTTAGGGTCGCTGCTTTAATCCTGGGGTAGGTAAAGCATAGAGACGCTTGCGCTCTGGAAAGTTACTGGGTGCCGTACTAGTCATTGGCAGGAGATATGGGTATGCTCTGAGGCCTCCAAATGTGCAGTCTGAGAACCACTGAAAAAGGGAGTGGGGACTTATGTGTGTTGAGAGGGAAATAACACATGTAAACGAAATGCAAATAAGAGCCTAGGCCCTTGGGGTCTGCACTACAGGGCGTCAGCAATGTTTGCCACACCTCTCTTTTCTTTTTTATTTTTTTGATTTTATTTTTTGGTACCCGGGATTGAACTCAAGGACATTCAACCATCCCCAGCCCTATTTTGTATTTTATTTAGAGACAGGATCTCACTGAGTTGCTTAGCGCATCTGGCTTTGAACAGATCCTCCTGCCTCAGCCTCCCCAGCCGCTTGGATTATAGGCGTGTGTATTTTTTTTTTTTTTTTAAGTACTGGTGATTGAACTGAGCTATGTCCCTAGCCCTATTTATTTGTTTATTTATTTATTTGTTTGCTTATTGAGACAGGGTCTCACTAAATTGCTTAGGGCCTGGTTAAATTGCTGAGGCTATTGTTTTGTTTTTGATACTGAGGATTGAACTCAGGGGCACTTAATCACTGAGCCACATCCCCAACCCCTCTTTTGTATTTTATTTACAGACAAGAGTCTTCCCGAGTTGCTTAGTGCCTTGCTAAGTTGCTGAATCTGGCTTTGAACTCGCGATATTCCTGAAGTTGGACTTGAGCTTGCAGTCCTCCTGCCTCAGCCTCCCAAGTCGCTGGGATTACATGCATGCAAATCCCTCCTTTTCTGCATGCTTCCTGGTGTAGTTGGGAAAAGGTGGAGCCCCCCCCCCATCATTACTATGATATCCAGTGTATTAAGTGCCCCTACCCAGACCTCTTGGTGGTGACCACTCTTCCCTGCTTGCTTCTCATTTCACCATTGAGGACTATCTATCCGATGTAATCTGCAGGGAATCCTGGATTACAGGCTTCTTGTTTTTCTGTGGTACTTGGGGGGGTCAGTGCCTATTCATCCCTCTTGTCTCTTCCCTCCTTCCCCACCGGTTCCCCAACCCCTGTGGGCACCAAGAGGTGGATGCAATCTTATCCACCCCTCCCTATGGCATCCTGCTCCCCTGCACACCCTGTTCCCATCTCAGTTCCTGGGGTGGTAGTTGGCATGCTCAGAACCTGAGTTGCTCTATTTGGGGGAGAGAACACTGTGGAGAACTGGAGCATTTCTTTTTCCCTTCTAGAAGAATGGAAAGATCTGTCCTGGGTGAATTAGGTGAAAAGGTGGTTGTTGGGATGCCCCACTGAGCTCACAAGCCAAGATCCAGAGGAGTCAAGAGGAGTTCAGGGTTGAGGTGGGAAGCAGGTGCAAACTGGGGGTGGGGGGTGGGCAGCCTACACTGGCTTGCCTGGCTTGGCCTCCCAGGAGACTTGGCCATCATCCACACCAACCCCAGCTCAGAAGAGGTGGACAGGCTGATGAGGAGGAGCCCTAAATTTGTTTTTATTTATTTATTTATTTATTTACTTACTTATCTATGTTTTGAGGACAGGAATCTCACCATGTTGACAAGGCTGGTCTCCAAATACTGGGCTCAAGAAATCCTCCTACTTCAGCCTGGTGACTAACAGGGACTCCAGGTGTCTACCACTGCACTTGACTAGCCCTGAATTTGAGATCTAAAAATCTGGGTTCACTAAATGATTGTTCTGCAGAATGCTGTCTGACCTCTACTTCTGGGCTAGTTTTTAACATGGGATAATTATCCTTGTCATGCCATATATATCTTTTTAAATTGTGGTTTGGGGTTGAACTCCAGCATGTTTTACCACTAAGCTATATCTACAAACCTTTTTCCTTTTCTTTCTTCTCCTTTCTTCTTCTTTGGTACCAGGGATTGAACCTAGTGGCACTTAACCACTGAGCCACATCCCCAACACTTTTATTTTTAATTTGAGTCAGGGTCTCACTAAGTTGCTGAGGCTGACCTCAAACTTTGTGATCCTCCTGCCTCAGCCTCCTGACTGGGTGGAGGCTGAAGCACGATGATCACAAGTTCAAAGCCAGCCTCAGCAACTGATCGAGGCTCTAAGCATTTTAGTGAGATTCTATCTCAAAATGACAAATAAAAAGGGCTGGGGTTGTACCTCCATGGTTAAGCTCCCCTGGGTTCAATCCCTAGTACCAAATAAGTAAGTAAATATATATATATATATATATATATATATATATATATATATATGTATATAAATAAATGGGAGTACTGGGCTGTGAGGGATAAGAAACAAGTCTTGAGGTCAAGTACTAGACTGCCATAAACAAAGACAGGCAAGCTCTAAATATACTGCAGTGGTGTTTGGATCCTACACACAGTGCACGAAGGAAGAGAAATCAAGGTACAGGGTGGGGATGTTGCTTGGCGGTGGGGTACTCGGTGTGCACGAGGCCCTAGGTTCAACCCCCAGGACTGAAAACAGACAAATAACAACAACAAAAAACCAAGAGACAGAGAGCAGGGTGCAGAGGACTGTGAGGAGTCGACATTTTGCTGGGGGCCGTGCTGCACACCTGTAACTTGTCATCCCAGCAGCTTGGGAGGCTGGAGGATCACAAGTCCAAAGCCATCCTCAGCAGCTTATTGAGGTCCTAAGCAACTCAGCAAGACCTTGTCTCCAAATAAAATATAAGAAAGGCCTGGGGATGTGGCTCAGAGGTAGGGCTCCTGGGTTCAATCCCTGGTACAAAAAAAAAGAATAGGCATATTTGGAATCTAGCCACTCTCAGCACGCTATTGCTCTAGTCTGACCTGGCCTGACAAGGTGTCCGTCTGTACTGGGCTTCTTACCTCCTAAAGGTCTTGAACAGTCTACCCTTATTTTCTAAAGTCTATTCTCAGCGTAGCAGCCAGTATGAACTTTTCAAGTAAAAACTTAGTTCATGTTTGATACCAGGCAAGTTCCTCATTCACTCAGCATAAAAGCTCAAGTTTGGGGCTGGGGTTGTAGCTCAGTGGTTGAGTGAGCGCTTGCCTGGCATGCGTGAGGCACTGGGTTTGATCCTCAGCACCACATAAAAATAAAGATTGTGTGTGTGTGTGTGTATATATATATATATATATAAAGAAAAGCTCAAGTTTTTTTTTTTTTCCAGTACTGGGGTTTGAACCCAGGGGTGCGCTACCACTAAGCTATACCCCCAGCCCTTTAATTTTTTTTTTAAATTTTTAGTTGGGTTCCATGGTATATACCTGTGATATCAACCACTGGGGAGACTGAGGCAGGAGGATCGAAAGTTCAAGGTCAGCCTCAGCAATTTAGTGAGGCTCTTAACAATTTAGTGAGATCCTGTCAAAAAATAAAAAGGGCTGCGGATGTCGTTTAGTGGTAAAGTATCTCTAGGTTCAATTTCTAGAACCAATTTTTTTTCTATTTTTAGACAGGGTCTGGCCTCAAACTTGTGATCCTTTTGCCTCAGCCTCTTTGTTAGCTGTGGTTACAGGCATGCACTACCACTACATATCTTACCCAGTGCAGTGGCACTTGCCTATAATCCCAGCAGCTTGGGAGGCTGAGGCAGTAGGATTGTAAGTTCAAGACCACCAGTATCAGCAACTTAACAATGACCTAAGCCATCTAGTGAGACACTATCTCAAAATAAAAAAACAAAAAGGCTGGTATGTTGCTCAGTTTTTAAGTGTCCCTGGGTTCAATCTCAGGTACCAAAAATAAAAATAAACTAAAATAGTTCTTATTTGGGCTGTCCTTCACCCACCCACACTCATCTCTGGCCCAACTTTTTTTTTTTTCCATAGTATCTATCCCAATTATATCAACATACTTTAAAAAGTCTATAGTTTATCTTCTGTTGTCACCCACTGGAATGTAAACTTCACAAGTACAGGGATCTGCTTTGTTTATTGCTGTATCCAAAACACCCAGACTTACATATAGCAGACAGTCAATTATATTTGTTGAATGAATGAATGAAGATTCAGACCTGCATAACTATCTCTGGAATGTTCTTCAAGAAGTTGGTTATTGTGGTTATCTTCAAGGGAGGCTGGGGGATAGGTGTAGGAGACTTAATTTTTACTTCTAGAGTTCTTTAAGTGGGGTGTGGTGGGACAGACCTGTAATCCCAGTGATCGAGGAAGCTGAGGCAGGAGAACTGCAAGTTCAAGGCCATCCTCAGCAACTTTGCAAGACCCTATCTCAAAAGTTAAAAATGACTGGGGAGAAGGCTGCGGTTGTAGCTAAGTGGCAGAGTGCTTGGCTCGCATCTGTGTGGCACTGGGTTCGATCCTCAGCATCCCATAAAAATAAATAAATAAAATAAAGGTATTGTGTCTGTCTACAACTGAAAAAAAAAAAAAAAAGACTAGGAGTAAAGAACGCCTGTGGGTTCACTTCACTCCCCAGAACTGCAAAAAAGAAAAGAGAATTATTTACTTTAGGCATATACTACCTTTACAAAAAGGAAAAAACCCAGAGAGAAAGGAGTTAACTAAGAAGGTTGAAGAAGAGCTGATCCCAGAGAGGGAGCAAGAGGGCCCCATATACGGATCAGGCCAGTGTCCCAGATGAGAAAGGGGGATGAGCAATACCTGGGCCCAAGGAGGTCAGGAACTCTCTGAATGGCGATCCCAGCAGGACACTGAACAAGCCCTGTTGCTGGCTTTGCGGTTGTGGGAGGCTGTGGGGGGGGCGTGTGAGTAAGTGTGAGCAAGACGATGTGCACGTGTACCTACCACTGGGAGTCTTTTGGGAAATCCTGTTATTGGCTTCCAAGGGGAAGCGAGGAGTCAGTTCTACTTACTCAAACCGTTGGTGTCCTGATAGGAGTCATGCCCTGATAAGCCTGAGGAACCGGTGTGGCTGCACAGATGGTTTTTCTCTTATAGTTGTGTGTGTGTGAGCCCCGAGCTCTGGTAGCTCATGGGGCCCACTTCCTCCACAAACTGGAAATAGCACGGTGCTTTCCCTAAGCTCCTCAGAGGCAGGGAGCTCCCTACACCAGGTCCTCTACTTGGGGAAGGGTTGAGACCCTCGGGTGGCCATTCTAATACCCTGGCCTCACAGAACACGCCAAGCTGGACCCCTCGCTATACATAGGTGGGAGGATCCTGGCCTTTCTCCCCTCCACTCTCCCCACCCAGGTAAGAGTGAGTCAGGAAACCTGGATTTCAATGTCACTTCTGTCCTGGACAACCTCCTTCCCTCCTTGGTCTGCTGCACTCTGGCTCGAAGACTCCTTCAGTGCCGACTTTTGTCTGCTTCCCTCTTAGACATTTGGAACTTTTGGCCTCAAAGCCTTTTTATTATACGTATAGTTCAGCGATTCTCAAACAGAGATCTTAGGGCACAGCCCATGCCTGGTACTAAGAGCACGGTGAGATCACCCATCTGGGCTGGAGGGCTCACTGTGCCAGGCGTAGAGGTGTGCCAGGTCCTGTGGTCGTCTTACTGGAGCGCCGGCCAGCAGGCCAGACTCCCGCTCACCAGAGGTTCGACAGAGGCAGAGGTTGGGGACTGAGGTCCAGAGACGAGGCTAGTCTGGCAGATGGCACAGCTCAAAGCAGGATCCACACTTCACTCTTCAGTCGTCGTTTGTGGCCCACCTGTCCTTGGTCAGGCACAGCTGGCCCCAGGAGTCTTGACGGGGCTACAGAAGAGAATGGGGGAGCTGAGAGGCAGGCTGGGCTACACAAGCTGCAGCCACACCCCCGTCCAACCCCCTGCCCACCTGAGCGGTGCCAGCCATGCTGTCAGCGGTAGAGGAAGCCGCTCCCTGGCGTCATCAGTCCAGCAGCTCCTTGATACACCAGCAGCAGAGCAGTATGTAGGCCACTTCCTTCAGGGTTCGCTGCAGGCCCTCCCACCCTGTGCCCATCTTAATGACAGGCACACGGAGCCCAGCGTCTCGCAGGACCCCTCCAAGGGAGAAGGGTAAGGCCTGGGTTAGGGGCTGTGTCCTGGGCTGCATGTGGGCAGCGGTTCTGAGGAAGGGTGTGGGAGCTGCCTTTGGTGCCTTTTATCAACTGTCCCCACCCCCTTCAGGCCTCATGACTAGACGCAAAGGCCCCAGGGTCTAGCAAAGGAACATTCTGGGCTTGGGAAAAGGCTGAGTCAGCCCCTCTGGACAGGGATGGGGTGGGGTTAGTGGGGGAGGGCCTGGGCACTCCATCTCCACAGCCAGGCCAGCTCAGCGTCCCTTCCTCCAGCTTGGGTGGGCCTGTCTGGTTGCCCCTTTCTCCGTGGTCGGCACAACTCCTCCCACCTTGGCGGGCTCTGGATGAGGCTGGCGTTGAGAATCATCCAGGAGTGCTCCCTTCCGTCTGTTCCATCCTACCCCTGGTTCCTCAGGGTGGGCATGACCAGCTTCAAGCTCGCAGGTCTGGCCACTTCTGTCCCTCGGAGCACAAAGACACAGCCAGAGCCACAGCACAGTGAGAGGCTGGTTTATTGACAGGCACTCCCCTCCCCCCTCCACACAGGAGGTCACATGCGGGAGTTTCGCTCCTCTTCTTCATTCTCCAGTAGGTAGGCTGGACGGTAGGTGGGGTGTCCTCCTGGGCCTAGGCACTTCAGGGCTGGGTTCTGTACTGTGTTCTCCCGACTCCCCAGAGACGTGTACCTGGAGAGCAGAAATGGAAGGCCAGTGAGTGACGGTAGGCTCTCCGGGGCGGCTCCCCCTATCCCAACACCTTCACATCCCCCACACCCATTCTGCTCCCCTAAACTTACCCTCGGTCATACAGGATACAATATGGGACAAACAGCTGACGTAGAAAGTCCCAGATGTTTCTGTAGGTCCAGTCCTGGGAGGTCAGAGTCATAGAATAGTCACAAACATTCTCTCCCCTGCCATCCAGGAAGGGGCCATCCAAGGCTCCCCTGCCCCTTGGCTCTGAGGGAGGGAGGCTTGCTGTCTGGTTCTGTGGTGCACCTTGCTCTGTGCAGACTAAGCAGCGAGACAGAGGAGGCCTCCGTCCTCTACCCTCTCCATTCCCGAGCCACTCTCACTGACGTGTCACATCCCGAACATGGAAGGACTGTGTGTCTCAGTCGGTGCTGCCAGGCTCGGCTGTCTGCCAGGACGGACATATCTGTGCGTCTTATGGCAGTGACTCGAAACATGGCTACTATAATTGAAGAAATGAATTTTAAATTGTTCTTAATTTTTAAAATTGAGATACAAGCCAGGCATAGTAAGGCATGCCTATAATCCCAGCTGCTTGGGAGGCTCAGGTTTGAGGCCACTGGGCAACTTTGTGAGAATTTGTTTCAAAATAAAAAATAAAAAGGCCTGGGGGTGTAGCTCAGTGGTCAGCATGCCCCTGGGTTCAATTCCCAGTACCAAAAAATATTTTTGAGCTATAATTCACATGTCATCTTCTTCATCCTGTGAAAATATTTTAGTAACTTGTATTTAATTTCAGTTATAACCTAAGTATGAATAAATAGCTAATGGCTGTCATATTGGAGAGCACAGGTCTAAGTCACTGGTCCACAGTAAAAAGTACAATGCTCAATAAATATCTGTTGAAGAGATGAACGAACAGCACTGCCTCCCTTGGATGGTGGGGCCCCTTCATCCATGACTCAGGCTCCGGCCTCCTTCCCCAGGGGAGCTGGGGTGCAATGACTGACAGGGCACAGGAGACAGAAGGCATTACCAGCAGTGGGTTGATGCGCATGAAAGAAGGCCAGCCGGGGTCGGTGGGACTGAAAGGGCAGAGGCTACAGGAATAGGGATCAGTCCGGCGAGTGCCCATCAGGACAGCCTCCAACTGGGGGTGCTGTGTCTGCAGCTCACACAGGGCCTGCTTCATGTCACCCTCAGCCTCCAACACCTGCAGATTATACCTTAGGAAGAGAGAGGTGGAGGTCAGAGTGGGACCTGCCAAGCTCCTCTTGGAGCCCAAACCTCCGGGCCTCTAGTACCTCTTGATAGTGTCCTGTAGAAACTGTTCCAGTTCAGGAAAAGGGGAGACGCTGCGGATATACAGGATCTGGAGGGGTTTGGGGACATCAGGAAATTTCCTGGGGAAGGGGAAGGATTCATAAGGTTGCTGGCATAGACAGGGAACTTGGCTCTCTGGAGAGCACACTCTCTCTTTGTTGCATGGGATGGACACCCTCCCTTTCTCCCCTGTCCTCATTTTTTTTAATCTAGCCGACCCACTTCCTATGGGAAGCCCACTCCAATTGCTCACTTCTTGAACCTGAGCGTCCCTATGTATGGATTGATATTTCTGGTAAATATCACCTCCCCAATGGGACTGTGACCCACTTGTGCTCGGGGATGGTGGCCTGCACATCTATATCCAGGGCCAGGTATGCGCCAGATGCTTGATACATAGGGTGGGAGAATGGAACAGAGAGGTCACTGGGGCTACCTCCCTTCCTAGCCCCTATGTCCTGGCCTCCTCTCTGCTTCCTGGGATGGGGAACTAGAGGGATTAGGTGTCCTGAGGTGGGCTCACCTCTGCACAGCTGCATGGAAGAGGTGCAGGAGGGCGGTGCAGTCCTTGCCCCCGTTGAAGCCCACACAGAGCTGGTTGAGATGGTACCGAGCCAGGGCAGTCTCAATGGTCTGTAGGGCACCTGCTACCTTTTTCCCCAGAGAAGACCCTGCCAGGCAGGCAGGGAAGTGGGCATCAGGAATGTATAGCTGTTGAATGGGGCATGTTGCCCTTGCTTAAAACCCTTTAACCTCTTCCCATGTTCTTAGGATTAAGTCTAAACTCCTTGCTGTCCCCTGGCCCTTGCAGTCTGTGCCCTGCCTGCCATTCAGCCACCTGCCCTTACTCCCATTCCCCTAAACCCCAAGCTGCTCCTCCAGGTCTGCTTCCATTCTCTTTGCTCTTGGCCCACCCCCTGGTCCAATCAAATGCTCCTTATCACTCAGCTCTTTTGTTACTGGGTCAGGAAAGCTGTCTCTGACCCTAGATCAAGGCTGATCTCCCAAATGTGGAATCCTCTTCGTTCACACCTCATGTATGGTCCCCGCTTCACATCTACCCCTCTAGTTAAACCACTGATCCAGAAGAGCAGAGCATACATTTGTCCATGTTGTCCAGCACAGTGCTGGTGAGAATGGGCACTCAATCAATATTTCTTAGAATGAATTAATCAATACTGACTATTTTCTACCTTCTCTCAGAATTGTGGGAAGCCCCCCCCCCCCAACAGGTCCTGCGTTTCTAAATCTTGGATGGCACCAAAGGCCGGTACATGCTGCCCTTCCCCAAGGAAGGCCCCTACCTGATTGAGCGAGTTTGTATACAGCCTCACTGGCTTGCTCCACGGCGTTGGGCATGTAGGAGACCAGCGACCCCTGGGGCAGACGGGCAGTCAGGTAGGCCAGGCATTCCTCCAGTGGTCCTTCTTCCTCAGAGTCTAGAGTCAGCTTCACCTGATAGTAGTTGCTGCCCCAGTCAGGGTAGGAACCCAGGCCAAGTTTCCGCCCAAAGTGGGCCTGGGCCTCCGCAAGGATGGGGGCAATAGAGGTTTCAGCAGCAGCCACATACAGCTCCTTGGAGTGGAAATGAACAGCTGTGTTCTGGAACAGTCCCTTTAGCCCCTCCAGCACCCGCCGCAGCAGCTCCGGAATGCCTGGGAAGAGGTAGACGTTCCGGACAGAGACCAGCGGGAATCGGAAGGGGCGGCCAGTGCGAGGATCTATGCCGTAATGCAAGCGGGCAGAGGAGGGCACCAGGGACAGCTTCTCCCAGCCCTGCCCTCCTAGGGCTTTGATGGCCTCTTCCAGCTCAGGATGTGGCTTCAGCTCCTCCCCGAAAGCCTGGGCAACTGCCTCAAAGGTCACATCATCGTGAGTGGGGCCGATGCCCCCTGCAGTGAGAACATGGGTAAACCGGCTAGAGAAAGAGGTGACCTCGGCTGCAATGGTGGCTACTTCATCAGGCACAACAGAGACTCGGCACACCTGGACCCCCAGGGAGCGCAGTGTCCGGCACAGAAAGTAGGTGTTGGTGTCTTGAGTGTGTCCCTGGGGGTTGGGGAGGATGAGACTGTCAATACCATGGGGATGAAAGGCAGGGGGAGTATAGCTACATCTGTCTGATGATGGGTACTCTGCTCTTTGAGGTCACCCCTTCAGGCTGTTGAGCCTGGGCTGGGTGGGAAAATCCCCTGGAATGTAGTCAGGAGATTCACCTTGGGCCCCCTCTGCTCTTTGATCTTGACCTTACGTATATTTATGGACTCAGTTATCAATTCTATGTGGGCGATTTGTCCATCTCCTTACCAGTCCTGACAGTTTCAGTCTCCTGACTCCAAGTGCTTACTGGGAAGCCTCACTGTGTCCCTGGCTATTGTCACTTCAGTTAGTGGCATCCCAGACACTGCCCACAGCCAGTCAGACTCTTCATTCTGTCAACTGTACTGAAATGTCTCCCCATCTGCTCTCCTCTGTCCCCAGTCACCAAACAGGTCCTTGGCACCTTTCACCTGGTCAATGGCAACAGCCTCCTGGCCGAGGTCCCAGCCTCCAGCCACGGTGCTTTGCTCTGTGTCTTCTGAGTAACCTTCCTAATGCGTCACTGTGATTGCATCACTTTTGGGCTCAAGAGCCATTTGTTGTTTCCAACTGTATGCAGAATAAAGTTCAAATTCTTTTGCAAGTATTTAAGGCTGTCTGTGGTGTGTATCCTATCCTCTTTTCCAGCCCCATCTCCTTCTACCTCTCTATATAGGTTAAGAGTGTGTTCTGGAGTAAGGAAGAGTCATGCTAGAATTCCATTTCTACCACTTTCTAGGCGTGTAATCTCAGGCAAGTTTCTCAACCTCTCTAAGCCTCAGTTGCGTAATCTATTTATTAACTGAGATTCACAATAAAAGCACTAACTTCATGGAATTGTTGTGAGGCTTAGTAAAATCACATTTGTGATGTAATAAGCATACTGCTAGCCTCTACTAAGCACTCAAAAAATAGTGTTTACTATTACAAACCTAATGCCC